TCTCTCTCTCTCTCTCTCTCTCTCTCTCTCTCTCTCTCTCTCTCTCTTTCTCTCTCTTCATTATTATATATATCCAACATCAGCTATGGCATCCACATCAACGATAACAAACGAATCGTGATGTATCCTATTCTCTTCATCTATGAAATTTTGTGCAATGTGTTGAGTTATTTTCATCCATCCACAAATCGAATGTAAAATGCTACATTAAAAACGTGTATAAATAACCGTATGAATGTAGGATTATTGCTGAAGATGTTGATTTTTGTTTCTTCTTCTTATTCTCTTGTCTCTACGCTGAAGGAGAAGAGAGAGAAAAAGTCGTATTTTCTTCTTGTGATATAATTTATGAGTTGCAAAGTGAGGAATTGTGTTTTCTATTCGATCCGATACGTAATTGTTTACACAATGGCCGTATGGAAACTGGGCAGCTCTATTCTTCACACATCGTGGCCTTTCGTTTCGTTTTAACTCTCACTCCTCTCATGCATATACATTTTGATTTTCTTGCTCTGAACCGATATATATTTTTGTATGTGTGATGAAATGTCGACATAATGCCAACATTCGACACGCAACAAAAAAGCCGAAGAAAATCTCGTTCGGAATGCACTCTTACATGCACCACACTATCGAGTTTTTTTTTCTCTTCTCTTTCGAATGAAACGCGTTATGAAAAAGTAATTTATAAAAAGCACGCTATAAATTTCCACTTGTTCACGATTCGTGCATGTCTGCGTGTAATTAGCGCAGATCTATAGATACATGTATGCACTGGAGATGATTATAATTTTGAACGATTTCTTATGACGATGTGCCGGCCAATTTTCTATTCATTTCGACGTGTAGGATGAATTTGTGCTTTTTTAACTTCACTGTCATCAAGCGTATCCAAACCGATGTTTGTAAATGTTTCGTTTTTAAATTCAGTTAAGGCTTTCGGTGGAACTGTCTTTTCCAATTTGATAAAATACAAGAAGTCTTCATTTTTGAAACCACTACCACCTGTTGATACTTTGTTCTTATCTACTTTGAATCCAAATTCTCTGCTTTCTGTTAACCAAAAATTGGAACTGTCTTCACACTCACCAATTTCAAAACAGACGCTTTTTTAACGTTATTCAAATGGAAGTTTCATTCAATATTTGGACTTTGATACATTTTTACATTTCAAAATCATTAAATATATCATTCGTATTACGAGAACTACGTTGGAATGCAACAAATCTGCAAGCAATTCTAAGATGTTTGACAATCCCACTCAAACTGTTTTGATTTGAAAATCAAAGGAAATCGCTTTAAATGAAATACATAACGATTATTTCATCTGACCGAATATTTAAAAGGAATGTCACCAAAAATTGACTATTGATTGAAGTTCACACGTCATAAAAATAAAGTCGTCGAGACAAATGAATTTTGTGAACCAAAGGAAAGGCGCGTTTATTTTAGAAGAGTAGTTTTCGGTAGACTGTAACGTGTGACTATACTCTCATTCGTATTTTCTTGGGTCATTACAATTGATAAATACAAGCTATTGAATTCTTTTGAAAATGAGAATCGTAGACAATTGCGCGCTGGTTCGACGCAAAACTCACAGTATGAAGGAAAATGGTGTGTGGGTGACAAAATGTAGAGACATTTTCAGAGCTCAGACGAACAGCGTTTGCTATTTCAGTTATGGTTGAAACTAGTATTTCGTCACATTCATAAATTGTCTCATCGATATACCACAACGGCTGTTCAACGGTTCACATATTTTGTGGACGCATTATAATTATAATTACCCGCCATTTTTGTTCATCGTCTAGCTCGACAATTATGCTCTATAGATGTGAGTATGTGTCTGTATGTGACTATCTATGATGATGAAATGGATGGGCACATCGCCGAACCCATATGGGGTGAAATATTCAATTAGTTTAATAAAATGTGTGTGTGTATGTACTGGCACAAAATAGGCCATATCAGTGGAAATCATATTTTTTGTTAGGTTTTTGTGGCGTTGGCAACTGGCATGGATTTCATATCGCTTATAATATGTTTTGCCAAAATCGCATTCGATGCGCCAGAAATATAATACATCCTGAGAGCGAAGCAGAGAAAAAAAAACTGGAACACCACTCAAACAAATGCCGCTAGAAAAAAAAAACAAAGAACTTAACCGCATGCTACGTTTGCCACTAAATAGTGTACAGCTCTGTGACATAAATTATTGTTAATAAACAAATTCGTTCAGATTAATTTATGATTGCCATGTACGTGGTGTTCGTGCAGTGTGAATTTCATTTCGAGTGCCACTGCCCCCGAAATCCCCATCGTCATTCTAATTGAATGTATTTGAATGCGATGTGCACCAAAAATAGAGAGAAAAACTAAACTCATTTAAATTGGTAATGCGCTTGATGTTTCTAGCTCTCCAACGATCCCAAATGTCCGTCCGGTGATCGTTGAATGGCTGTTGCTGCTATTGCTGCTGCTGCTGTTTGTCGCTATTCACAAATATTTCACTCATGCACAGACTTTTATGCAAACCTCACAATGTCTAATGAATATGCTGATGTGTGTGTGTGTGAATCTAAGCGAATGCACGTCATTCAAATCCACAAAACACTTCGCTGGAAACGCGTCCC